ATATAGTACTTACTGTAAAACAAACCCTCAACTTGATATCCCTTGTGGTTTAGATTATGCATACATTTCATTTTTATGAACTCCTATTATTAGAATTTTTTCCAAGAATTCAGAATGAAATTCTTCCAAAGAATTACTAACTTTTTATTTTTTACATGTTATTTCATCATCCCAGTTATGGGAACCTGAGGTCTGATCATTTTTCTTTTTCTAGAAAAAAAAATCAAAATGTTCTATTATCCTGGGTTGATTTGCAAGCAGAGCCGGTGACAAAGGTTTGCATGCAGATAGCTTACCAAGGAAGTGATTCCAAGGAGGAAGAGTGAGGGGCACAGGACATAAACCAGGATCATGAGAAAGATCGCAGGAAAGAACATTAAGTTGGCCACCCCTACAGAGGAATGGTGCTCTATTCCACTGGGGCTTTCTGAGGAGCCCCATAAAACATGTCAGAACTGAGTGCCAGAAGATGAAAGGGTAAGCACTTATTCATGGAGTCCTGTCCCCCATTGGTCTATGGTGGCCGTATGGGTCATACATGTCTGAATGCTAAGCAGGTACAGGTATGAGAGAAGTCTCAGGACAAGAATCAAGAGATAGAAGATGTAAGTCCCCAAAATGAGCCTCTGTTAGGCAGTGGAAGTTCAGCAGAGCTCCATTACTACCCGGTAACTGGAAATAGAACCAGGAGGATTTGAAGAGGAGCTCAAGATGTGGCAAACACCATTATCAACCTTAGAACTTCTATAACTTGATAAGGAGTAAATAACTGCCCAATGGAATGACTATATTTCTTTCTAAGTCAATCAGTGATATTTTAATATCTCCTTACTGTCTTTGTACCTACAATTTGTCCAGTGATGTCTCTGAAAGTTTAAGAAAGTGAAAATAATTTCAATGGTTGCTATAACAGCCCAAGTGTGTTACACTGGATTGCCAAGCTGCATTTTAAGAGGGAAATGTTAAAATGAGTAAGAATTACAAATGAGAGAAATTCACACTTGAGCTGTTTATACATCTGTGTTTTGATAAACTCATATGTTTTAAAGCCGTTTCATATAGGGTTTTATTTATAAGAAATAAGTGGGAAAAGCAGAAACTTCTTAAGAATTATTGAATGCTATTTCAGATAAATTTTATATATTTCCAATAATCAGTTATAGAAACATAATTAATCCCTAATTTATAGAATTTATATAAAGGTTACATTAATTAGGTAATCAATAGATTGGAAAATTAGAAAATTACTAGATTATTTGAATAATCTATTAATGACAGCCAATTTACTGAGTACTTACTATGTCTCAAGAACTGTTTTAAGATACATTAATTCATGGGGTACCTAGGTGGCTAAGTTGGTTAAGCATCTGACTCTTGATTTTGGCTCAGGTCATGAGCTCAGGATTGTGAGATCGAGCCCCTTATGGGGCTCCACGCTGGATGTGGAGCTTGCTTGGGATTCTCTCCTCCCCACCCCTGCCCCGTCCCACACCATCTCTCTTTCTCTCTCTCTCTCTCTTTCCCTCCCTCCCTAAGAAAAAAAAAATACATTAATTCATTTAATCCTCACAATGTCTCAAAAGTAGGTACTATCAATCTCTCATTTGAAAGATGATGAAACTAAGACACCAAGAGTTTGTGTAACTTACCCAAGCTGATAGTGCTAGTAAGAGTTGCAACAAAAAAATAGCGCTGTTTAGTGAATATCTCCATTTAAAAAAAAAAAAAAGTTTATGACAGGTTAGAATAAATTAAGGCAGTGGCCAAATCGTCAAAGCAGACTCCAGAATCACTCTCTCTTTGCAATGATTAAGATGATCCAAGTGAAAATATGTCAATAAAGATATCGTCCATCTCATTACAGAACGCTGGTAACTTTATCAAATCTGTATTTTGCTTGCAAATGTTCATCTGAATGTAAGAGAGAGAAAAACAATATATGAGGGAAAAACACTGGATAAAAAGTGTGGGGATAGTCAGCCAACTAACATTCTTTGAACACATTCACAATAATCAAGGCATCATTCACCAGTTTGAGAGTTTGAGTTCTAACAAGTAGGTGTTTACTGATTAGCAACTAACCAATATAATATAAATTGCTAAACTAGTTTGCATTTGCAGATGCTACAAAAAATTTCCCTAAGGCCTAGCTATGTTTCCGTATGAGAGGCCCTGTATTATGCCCTTCTCTGACTCAGTTCAGGATATTAGTCACCAGCTAGTTTTAAAAATGATTCAGTTGTGGTGATTAATCCAATTATTCAAAGAGTTTCTGTGGAAGTACAAGGAAGTCTTATATTTCCCATCCGTTTCTTCCATATTTCTTATGACCTACAAAGCTCTAAATGGTCTGCTTGTGACACAGGTACACACTTTTGGATAAGCTCAGGTAAGAATATAGGTATTTTCTGTAGGCTACAATGGAAAGGGCAAATTTCTGACATCCCATTAAAAAGGGCAAGCTTCCTATGCTCTACAATCAGCATGAAATCCACCATGGAAGAACTGAAGTATGACTACATCTGGTTTAAAATTCCACAGCAAATTCACTGAGGGTTACTTTAAACCCATTTGGGTGAAAAAAGTACTGTCTTTACAACATCTTCTCGACTTCTCCCCTGCTCCCTTATTCTTCGCAGTGGTTACAGTTTAATCACTCAACTTCCTCTTCATTATGTGCCCCACACTGTGCCTGGCACACAGAGCAAACAGCTCCTTCCAACACCTACGTTCCATCTTTCTAGTATCACTCAACAAATTTTGTCAAGAAGTGACTAGTCCATCATAGTCCATGCTCTTGTTAGCACGGGGCATATGTTACTGAACAAAAGAGACCAAGAAAAGAAAAGAAAGAAAGGAAAAGCTTAACTGAAAATTTACAGTAAATAATAAATGTTATTTAAAATAAATAATTTTTTGAGAAAAATTCATTACTGAAAGGAAAAATAATATTCTTCAGAATAACCTAAATTATTTTATTGGACCATAGGAACTTTGAGAACTTTTATTTGGTTTGTTTTTAATTTACATTTCAGAAGCTTTTAAAAAGTAACTCGTATGCTTTATAACAGTATTTCAGTTTAGTTTTAACTTGCATTTCTTTTATTTTGGGTAAGATTAAGATTTTTTTTTTTTACTATGTTATATCACCTTAGGATGAAAGTCAACTTATATCCTTTGTCCAATTTTCAATTGGGCAATTTTTTTTTTAATTTGTAGGAGTTAAAAATATTTTTTGCTGTTTGTTGATGATCTTCTGACTTTGCTTACAGTGGTTTCTGCTTTGCAAGTATTATTTATTTTTATGTAATCACAGTTTTATATAATATATATGATACTTTTTACTTTTAAGTTAGATACTAGATTTTAGGTTGAGAGATATACTTTGTATTTTTATTTATCCCTTTATTCTTTAATGGTTTAAGGGATTTGTGGTATAGGAAAAGGGCCTTTTCCCTCTAAAGTTATAAAAGAATTCTCCATGGTTCCTTCTAGTTTTATTATAGTTCTACTTAAAATAGATAGATACATACATACATAATTTAAATCTTTAATATATTTTAAATTTACCTTGGAGGGGAGTATGACATATAGATTCAACTTCTTCTTCCAATTGGCTATTTAGTTGTCCCAATATTTGCTCCTGAATAATCCATCTTCTTCTCACTGACTTGAGATGACATCTTTATCGTATGTGCTTAGGTCAATTTCTGTATTTTTTACTCTATTTCACTGAACATTTTCTATTCCTGTGACACTGCTATATTATTTCATTATTTTAGCTTTATAATATTTAAATATTTAATAAAACTAGCCCCCTATTCCTTACTTCGTTTTTCAGAATTTAGAGATTAAATTAGGGAAAACTGACATCTGCATAAAGCTGAGCCTGCCCATCCAGGAACATGCTGTACCTTTCCATTTACATTAATCTTCTCTGGGTCTTAAGGGAATTTTACATTTTTCTTCATATAGATCTTGTACCTCTCTTGTTATCTTGTTACATTTATTCCTAAGTATTTTCCCTATTTTGTTGCAGCTTTAAGTAGGGCCCCTTCTATCAAATCTTCAAACTAATTTTTTTAATATATGAAGAATATTGATATTAATTGGGTTCCTAAATAAGATGTTGGATTGATTTTATATGTATGGTACTTCTTCAGTTGACTTTCTCAAGTTTTCTAAGACTACAGTTTCATCATCCACAACCCCTTTTGAATTTCTATACCTCAAATTTTTTTCTGTGGTCTAGTTGTGTTAGCTAGAATTTCCAAACAATAATAACTAAATTGGTCAAAGCAGATACGTTCGTCTGGCTTATGATCTGTCTGGCTTATCACTTTATTGGGAGTGTTTCTAGTCATTTTTTTTTTGTAATTTTCTTTTAAGTTAAATACTAGATTTTAGGTTGAGAGAGATACTTTGTATGTTAAGGAAATACCTTATCCGTTCCTTTTTTTTACTGAGTCAAAAATAAATGTCAAATTTTAATATATGCCCATTTAGCATACATAAATATGACTGTATTATTCTCCTTAAATCTTCTAATATGGTAAGCTATATTAATAGATTTTCTAATATTGAATTTACAGAACTCATCTTTACATTCCTAGAATAATCCCCATTTGATCAATGTGCATTTTCTCTTAACAAGCTGCTGGATTCTGTTTGCTAATGTTTTACTTAGGATTTTTTGTATCATGAAACATAAGTAAATGGCTCTACAGTTTCCTTACTAGTGCATTCTTTGCTAGATTTTGGTCTGAGAACACTTGGAACTGTTAAATGTTGGACAAAGGCAGTATCATTGCAACACATATCCGTAGTTTAAAGCATCCACCAATAAGTGTCCTGGTTTTTCACTGCATCTCTTTATCCAACAGAAGAAGTCTTTGACCAGTGATTTTGTTCAATCAGACACATATGAGAATATATACGACAATAATTTTTCCATGTGGAGCATTCATATTTTGTTGGCTATTTCTGTTATTATCTTTCAGTCATGGAAAAAACTTCTACAGATGCATTTCCTTCTACTATGAATTCTTCAGAAAAGCAAGAGACTGTATGTATTTTTGGAACTGGAGATTTTGGAAGATCACTGGCACTTAAAATGCTCCAGTGTGATTATTCTATTGTTTTTGGAAGTAGAAACCCGCAGAAGTCCAGTTTGCTGCCCAACGGTGCAGAGGTCTTGAGCTATTCAGAGGCAGCCCAGAAATCGGACATCATAATCATAGCAGTCCACAGAGAGCATTATGAGTTTCTTAAGGAACTAACTGAGGTGCTCAAAGGAAAAATATTGGTCGACATCAGCAACAACCTCAAAATCAATCAGTATCCAGAATCTAATGCAGAGTACCTTGCTCAGTTAGTGCCAGGAGCCCACGTAGTAAAAGCATTTAACACCATCTCAGCCTGGGCTCTCCAGTCCGGAGCACTGGATGCAAATCGGCAGGTAAGATTAAATGATTAATTTATACTCAATCTTTAAGAAGTGAATGTTTTGGGGCGCCTGGGTGGCTCAGTCAGTTAGGTGTCTGCCTTTGGCTCAGGTCATGATCCCAGGGTCCTGGGATCGAGCCCCACATCGGGCTCCCTGCTCAGTGGGGAGCCTGCTTCTCTCTCTCCTCCCCGCTCTTGTTCTCTCTTGCTATCTCTCTCTCTCAAATAAATAAATAAAATCTTAAAAAAAAAAAGTGAATGTTTTAATGTGCACTTACCTCGAAGATGCCAAAATAGAATTCCAAAATAAAATACCCACTAAACATTTCTGATTGCTAATACGTGCCATGGATAATTTTCTTGGGTTTAACCAAGTAGTCGATTGTTGTGAGTTATTTCCCATGTTGACACCCTAAGCTTTTAGTTTGATGGAACACAATGGTGTCAGGCTCCAGAGGCCTCATGTAAGTACTAAAAAATAACACAGTTAGATTGTTGATGGATATCCTTTCCATTCCCATTACATTGTATGAAACTGGTTCCATTTATTCATTGAGATTAAAAGTAATCCATAAGTGATGTAGCACCCATGAATGCAGAAAAAAAATCAAACCATTCACCCTGTGGAGAACCAAGTCCTATTTTATCAGTCTGATATGCTTAAAACCACTCTCAACTTTCACCCTGGTACTTAACCATCCAGCACACGTGTGCAAGTTTAAAACATGTTGCTTCTACATCCTTGTTTGAAAAGCATGTCCTTGTTCTGCACGGTGCTTACATAGATTTTCAAAGTAATGATTAAAGAAAGAATAAGTATTATTTAATTGTTTATTAATTGATTATTCTCAACCCAGGTGTTTGTCTGCGGAAATGATAGCAAAGCCAAGCAAAGAGTGATGGATATTGTTCGTACTCTTGGACTTACTCCACTGGATCAAGGATCTCTCATGGCAGCCAAAGAAATTGAAAACTACCCCCTGCAACTATTTCCAATGTGGAAGTTCCCCTTCTATTTGTCTGCTATTCTGTGTGTCTTCTTCTTTTTCTACTGCGTTTTAAGAGACGTAATCTACCCTTATGTTAATGGCAAGAAAGACAGCACATTTCGCTTGGCTATTTCCATTCCAAATCGTATCTTTCCAATAGCAGCACTTACATTGCTTGCCTTGGTTTACCTCCCTGGTGTTACTGCTGCAATTCTGCAACTGTACCGAGGTACAAAATACCGCCGATTCCCAGACTGGCTTGACCACTGGTTGCTTTGCAGAAAGCAGCTTGGCTTAGCAGCACTGGGATTTGCCTTCCTTCATGTCCTCTACACACTTGTGATTCCTATTCGTTATTATGTACGATGGACACTGAAAAACAGAACCATTACCCAGGTAAATCTCTACTCATTTATATTCTCCAATGCCTTAAATCGAAGAGAAATCTTGCTGCATCATATTCCATTTCACAATTATAGAAAATCACTCTCCTAAGCATCTTTATTTTTTAAGTACTAGAGCTCCTGTCAGGTTTTGGTTGTTTTCTCTTTTGTTGTTGTTGTTTGTTTGGTTTGGTTTTTTATTGCTTGTCTGTTTGTTTGTTTTAATGAATTCAGTTGAGACCTCATACAACTATTGAGAATGAAAGTTAGATTCCTGGGTTCACTTGCATCCAGATGTGTATTCCCAGGACTCACTGGGATACTGGCAAACTGACAGATATGGGGGCTCAGGAAACCTAATAACACTTACTTGAATTCCTTGGGGAGGGGGTGCAGTCAATAAATGTAAACCAATGTGCTTTCAAGCTTCTATTTTTATGCATGCTACTTCCTTTTGGAAGTCAAAACCAACCATCTTCTAAGTAAGGGGGCTGTTCAAACCTGTGTCACAGGAAGGTAAACAAATTCATAGAAGGATGCTTATAACTTCATTAATGTTTGACTTGCAGAGAGCTGCCCTCAAGAACTAGAAAACTAAACAATTCTGAGCAAATATCAAATACCATTTTCTGCATAGTCAAAAATTCAGAGAGAATTAGCTCAGAGAGTCTTAAAGCAGTCCCAGAGGAAGTGCTATCCATCCGTTCTAGTTTGGATATAATTGGTTTTGATCAATCTTACTGCATTCTCAAAGTTTATGAGATGATTAACTCATTGATGGTACTTCTGTGGATTTCTCTACATTATTTCCCTAAAAAATACATGGGAAGTTCTTAGGTAAGAGTCCATTTGAAGGGCCTGATTTTTCTCAATCTGTGGTGTGACAGATTTGATGCTATATTACAGCAAAAATAAACATGAAAGAACCCAAACTTTGTGTGTGTGAATAAGCATATAAAGCAGAAAAACAGAATCTTGATACAATCATTTGAGAACATCAAGTTTTGCTTGGGGAACAAGAAGCCATATGGTAAAGAAGGTTTAAGTAAATGTTTACTTTGTTTTAGAATTTATAGGGTCAATTAAAACTTTCTACACAACTCCTGGAGTCAACTATTATAATAAAGTCCCAGCAGAACCAATTACTTTTTCTACCGAGAAATATCATTTCCAAGTGTATTTTTCTGGACAGTTATTTTCAAGTGATTATTAAGAAATACATACAATTTATCTTGAGCAAATATACCATGCAGAGGTATTTTTTAGTCCCCTTACAAGTTTGGGCAGTTTGTAAAAAAATGTAATATTTAAAAATTGCTTATAATTTTTCTTAGGCAACAGCCAAGACAGAAGATCCATTTAGCACCTCTACTGCCTGGCTTAATGATTCATACATAGCTTTGGGAATCCTTGGGTTTTTCCTGTTTGTACTCTTGGGAATCACTTCCTTGCCATCAGTTAGCAACATGGTCAACTGGAGAGAGTTCCGATTTGTCCAGGTAAGGACTTCAAGATTTAATCTCCTTTATATTGCAAAATAAGTCTGGCTTTACAAATATTTTCATTTTTCTCTCATACCATGCATAAATTTTCATCTTGCTCCCTCACTTCCCTAGCAATGTCACAAAAATAGAAACTGAACCAAGTTCAAGTGAGAAAATGCTAAACTCTGGTACCAAAAGTCATACCATAATAGTTTTGTTTCCTAGCTGGGCATCACTTGCCAAGATCACTGCTTACTCCTAGAGCCACAGGTAAGAGTAGAGAGTGAAAAATACCAACAACTATTAAACTTTGTGTGTAGGGATGTGCTAGGCGCAATGTGAAGAGAAACCCAAAGACAAAATTTTTACCTCTGAAAATCAACCTTAGTATATGGACATATTGATACAAAAGGGCATATATTAAATATATATATACATATATATATGTGTGTGTGTATATATATATGTTTATATATTATATATATATTAAACTCAAGTTTAAAACCATCAAAGCAAGCTATGTGAAGACTGTTATCATACCAGACCCAGTGCTGGTCTATAAGAGGGAAAATTGCTGTTTCCCACATATCAACCACCAGACACCTCACTAAAGGCAGTTAGTTACTATTCTTATGGACCAGTAATACTCAAAGTGTGGTACCTAGAACCTCAGCATCACCTGGGATCTTACTAGAGACACAAGTTCCCAGGCTCCCCCCAGACCTAATGAATCAGAAACTCCGGAGATGTGGCCCAACAATGTGTTTTAACAAGTCTTCCAGATTATTCTGATGCATGCTTGTTGTGAACCAGTATAATAATAGAAAAGACCATTAGTAACTGAAATTAGATTTGAATTTTATAAAACTATTCAAATTTCAAAAGTCTTGCAGTTTCTCCCTGAGAACAAACGCAGTCAACATTTTCTCATGTTAACACCTTTAGTCAAGGCATTAAGACAGAAATAAACATTGAGCTTTAGAATTTAGGCCAAAACAAGCAAACAAAAGTAAAGTTTGCTAATTGTTCTTTATAGCAATAGAAATTAGCTAGCATCTGCTTCTAGTCAGTAACATAAACTAATGTGGTACTTCTTGAGGACATGCTGTGTCTTACTCATCTCTGGCCTCCAGAAAATTTTATCAAGGAAAAAGTTTTACCACTGGGGAAGAAGCCAAGGTATATTATTTATTCTAACCCAAAAAAGTACTCTTAGCAAACTTTCCCATCCAGCCAGGTTAAAATGAAACCACCACTTAATCCCCCTCACCTGTGTCACCCATCCTGGGAACTGAGGTACAGCACAGGGAATATAGTCAATAATATTGTAATAACGTTGTATGGTGACAGCTGGTGCCTACACTTATCGTGGTGAGCGGTACAAAATGTATAGAATTGTCGAATCAAGATGTCGTACACCTGAAACTAATACAACGTTGTATGCCGACTATACTTCAAGAATAAAAAATTTTTAGGATGAAATCAATGTATCATTTGTAAGCACAATCTTTTTTTTTTTAATGCAATATTTATCATCCCAAAGGAGGGTTAATGCTTTCTCCAGTACTTAGCAGAGTGTTCTAAATATTTCAGATGTCAAAGGTTTGTGGTTGGTAATAAATACCTTCATTGGCTTAGAGTATTTCACTTTAAAATATAAATGTAGTGTTAATGTATACATATTTTTTTCTTGCTTATATAGTCCAAACTGGGTTATTTGACCTTGCTGTTGTGCACAGCCCACACCATGGTGTATGGCGGAAAGAGATTCCTCAGTCCTTCGAGTCTCAGATGGTACCTTCCTTCAGCCTACGTGATAGCGCTCATCGTTCCCTGCACCGTGCTGGTGATCAAGTGCATCCTCATGCTGCCATGTATAGACAAGACCCTCACACGAATCCGCCAGGGCTGGGAGAGGAACTCAAAACCGACATCAAATGGACAATATTTAAAGCAAAGTTCAATTTACCTGGACTCTCAACTATAGTATTGTATATTTAGGGAAGACTACATAATGGGCACAGTTAAGAAAGCATTTTTCTCCCACCTTGGCCTGAAGTTTGTTAACAGAGAAGGAACTGTTGCCTGACGTTGAGAAATTGACAGATAGGAATAGAACACCATTTAATCTCAGGTTAGTGATGAACCTATGTAGGTCCCTGCCTCTCTTCTTCCCAGAGGCAGTGGGCTGAGGTCACAGTGAGCTTTGTGGTTTCACACTAAAACATTTTTTTGTTATGGGCAACATGCATGACCTAATGTCTTACAAAATCCAGGGGAAATACATGCAACTTCCTTCTCTGGTTCGAGGGCTGAGTGCAATGAAAAAGGAAACAGTAAGATGGTGGCCACTGATAAAGGCTTTCTCAGGTATGTCTGAAAAAGGGGGACAAATGAAGTAAAAGGAATGAGAATTTTTCTTACTGTTCTTTTTAAATGAAGGAGATCCTAAGTATCGCCATAGTGAATTCTATAGTTAAATGTGCTCTTTGATTTTGCTTTTGCCAAGTTGGATGTGCACTGTGGAGAACTATTTTATAACACAACAGAAATATCACCATTGATGGGAAGTAACCATGGGTTGAATACATGCAAATCTATTACCATTGTCATAAGATTCTTCCTCTAGAAGGAATACGTGTAGGGAAGATTGAGTTCAAATTGAGAGATATCCACTGGATTTTTTCAATATATAATAAGCAAGGAAGGGTTGATAAAAGCCCTTGCACAATAAGGTGAAATAAGCCAGAATTTTAGATAGCAAGCTAAATAAATTTTGCAAAGTTGCACTATACAAGGTTTGTATGATTAAGGTATTATGGTATGCTTTGTGAATAGTATATTCCAAATGTTGTTCAATACTAATCATTTATGAAATGGATTTCTAGTATAAAAAAGTAATTTCTATAGTTTTTCAGTGCTTATTATAATTTTAAGCAGTGAAATTAAATGAATAATGAACATATAAGTTTGACCAAGGCGTAGATGAGAGAAAATTATGTAACATCTTAGGGTAGAAAGGTGTGAACAGTAGCTGAGATATGAGATATGCTTCTTTCTCAAATCTTTGCTGGAATGCAGGATGGTTTTCTCTGTTTTTCCTGTGCTGATAGTGCCATTTCCAAGATGACCTTCAGCAGGATTAGCCTTCCTGGCTCATGCATGGAGCTGAAAGAGCCTCATGCACCCTCTTCCCACAAACTGAGATAACCAAAAGGCCTTGAGATTGATGTTTTTCTGCCTGCTCTATAAAGGCCATCTATTTTTCTTTTTTTTAAACCTTTATTATCATATATTCTATGTGATACAAAATGATTAAAATATATTAAAACATCACCCACCATCCAGGATATTTCTCTACAAAACTTTTTGAAAATAGTTTCATCTATACTGTATAGTCAATTTTACATCCTTCCTTTTTCACTTAATGTATCAGTGGCTTCATTCTCTTACATGGTATATGTATATTATTAGTGGCTGCAATATATTACATCAAATGGCCTTTTATTTAACCACTGCCCTAATTAAACATATAGGTTATATCTGTTTTTTTACTAAAACAAATAACATTTCAGAGAATATTTTAGCACTTATTACTTTTTTCCATATTTTAAATTATTTCCTTGGAATACTTGCCAAGAATTGGGATTACAAAATTAAGAAACTCTTAATAGCACTTGATATATATTGCCAAATTATTTCTAAATTGACCTTGTCAATATCATTGGCATTGGATGAGGGTGTTGGTTTCATCATACCTTTTATAAATTTTGTTTTTTATCTCAGTTTGTGTTCACTGAGAAGGTACATAGAACACATGCTCCATTAATTTATCCTTGATCCACCTAAGCAAGGGTACAAAAAAACCTGGAAAACTGTGAGCAGAGCTGTGGTATATAGTGCTGACCCTAGAGCATCAGTGGGAAAGACAGGGAAAATGTCACTACTCATCCACTCCATTTTGTGCAAAACGGCCAAGTGTGCCAGGGTTGGAGCCTGCTTGTTGTCTAGAGAATGGTTGCTTCAAAATTAAATACTACCCAGGCTGATGTAAAGAAAGTGTCTGGGGTGGGCGCCTGGGTGGCTCAGTTGGTTGGGCGACTGCCTTCGGCTCAGGTCATGATCCTGGAGTCCTGGGATCAAGTCTCACATCGGGCTTCCTGCTCAGCAGGGAGTCTGCTTCTCCCTCTGACCCTCTTCCCTCTCATGTGCTCTCTATCTCTCATTCTCTCTCTCTGAAATAAATAAAATCTTAAAAAAAAAAAAAAGAAAGTGGGGTTAACCATGCTCTTTGGTAAAGAGTTTTTACTGGGCCACAGTTCATCACTAAAAATAGAAAATGTCGCACCTAGGTTAAAAAAAAAAAAAGCCTATCTAGGGTAAAAATCTACTTTAATAACCTAGTAAAAATGTTCTGCCTGGGTAGCTAATAGAAGCCATCCACAAAGCCAGAAGGTGAAGAACACCCCCAGTGGTTTTGGTGTAACAATGGCTTGGCAAACCTGACCCTCAGCATCAACCACAGGAGCTCCAAGCCCCACCAGTGGACTAGAGAAGCCAATAGCCTCCCCTTGTCCCTCTCACCATCCTTCCTCCCCAAACCATCAAACCAACTTGATCCTAACACAGCTGACTCCTCCAGTTTACCTACGGTTGGAAAGAATGAGTTTGGAACAGATGGAAATACTGAACTGTATTCCTTTTAACAGGTCCAACCTGTTCTCTATAAAAAAAGTTAGACTAGCGGCGGCCCAGGGGAGCGGCGGCCGGGACGCCGCCGGGCGGGCATGGGTTGGAATCGGAGCCTGAACCCCGACCTGACAACAACCAGCATCATGTGGTTCCTAATTTTAACTGCTCTTCATTCACCGATTGATGCCTCCCAGAAAAAAACGCCGCCAGCCTTCCCAGAAAGCCCAGCTGCTATTCCAAGAACCACCACTGGAGGGCCCCAAACACCATTATGGCTCTCCCCAGCTTACCATCACCCACACTAGACAGGTGCCCAGCAAGCCCATTGACCATAACACCGTCACTTCCTGGGTATCACCTCAGTTTGATACGACAGCAGAAAGCTGGTTCCCTGTGAACCAGAAATGTCATCGTCGAAACCAGGCAAGACACGCAAGTCGAAAATCTACCGCCTCCAAGTTCCCACATCTAACATTTGACAGTCCACTGTCTTCCTCCTGTTCAGCCACACTTGGGATCCCCTTAAGCAGGGAATGCCCCGGTCAATCAGAAAAGCGCATTTCCGGAAGGCCCTTAGTTCCAATGCTCAGTCCTCAAAGCTGTGGGGAAGTGTCAGTACATGCGCTTCAAAACTTACCTTATGTATTCATTCCCCCTGATATCCAGACCCCAGAGTCATCGTTTGTGAATGAGGGGCCCATTCCCCAAGATCAGAGGGAAAGTAGCCTTCCGAGCTGCTCCTTCCACGCTAGTACTCCCAAGAGCCCAGAGCTTGGGCCTGTTCGAGTTGAAGACACTCCCGAGGAGAAGTATGGGATCAAGGTCACATGGAGGAATCGATGCCACTTGTTTACTTACCTCAGGGAGAGAGGGAAGCTGAACAAAAACCAGTTCCTTGTGAAAAACTCACTGGATTTCTCTGACACCAGCAGTCTCAAGAAATTTTCATAAAGTTGCTAAAGTACTTTTCTGGCTCACAGGAGAGTACATCAGGAGAATAAAATGGAAATAATACCAATAACCTCAATAGAAAAAAAGATGTTTTACCTAGAACCTTGGAGTCATAAGGGAATTCAGTTCCCAGATTTGCTTTTTAAGATGTCTTTTCCTAAAAAGTTTTTAGTGTCATAAACAATTCATATTTTTCTTAACATTAACTGTCTAAAATTTTAAAGTATCTTATAGTAACTTTTAAAATGTATGTAAATAAATGGTTGCAGAAAGGTTTTAGAGAACCCTGCTTCTGATTACCGATCACGCAGCAATATTGCCTTCTCCACAAAAGGTCTTTCTTCGTTGTTTTTTAAAAACTACTAATTAATCCTCTGATCACCTCGTCCAAACTAATTCATTCCACACTTTTGAGTACCAACTCTGTGTCAGGCTCAGCAGCAGCTTCCTTTATGACATGATGGACAGGAAAAATAAAAGCAAACTCTGTGAAAAAAAAAAAGTTAGACTAAACTGCACTGTATTCTAGGAAAATTTTTAAGCTCACAGACCTTTTATTTTTGTATGTTCTCCCCATGGTAAGGGATGACTGCTTCTGTAAATTTGTACTCATTAAATGTTATTTTAAAAATATGTTCCAGTTTGTTTAATTCCAGTTTTGACTCATCAGCATTCCAAAAAAAAAAAGATTAAAAGCTTTTAAATCACAGCAGTTCCAATATCTGGAAGTAAAAATACCTCCCTTCAGGCATAAGGAAAAGGAGAGGCAGTACATGAGCTTAAAAGCATATAAACAGATTTGCAGCTTCGTGCAGTATATGCTTGAGCTCAGCAGTGGGTGCACTCCAATATCCTCTGTGTCTCACTTTTATCCTCAGAGAGGGGAGAGTATCAGCTGGCCAAAACAGAGGTAGGGGTATATTATCCCACAATGGACTTTGGTAAGAAGTCGAAAAAAAAAGCTTTCCTTCGTCCAGGTAGATGCTGCCAGGACGGCGCTAATGACTTCACTAACGGACTGACTTCAGGTTGGATTTCAGCCTGCAGACCAGACATTAAATGTCCTGCACAACTGGACAGCCACAGCCCTGATGGGCATGATCATTCTTTCAAAAGCAAGATAAAAACTGATAAATAAATAGAGGCTAGCAAGCTGGAGAAAGCTAGAAGCAAATAGCAAAGCCCTTACTCAAAAGCTACTTCAATTAGAAATTGCACTAAAAGCTCTTCATGCATTAATTGTTCAGGGACCACAAAAGAGCCATGATGATGATGAAAGTGTATAATGAATTTTACCTGTAGGGTCCCAGAAGATTCTGGACCTCCCCCCAAAGTCAAGGTGGAATGGCCGTCAAGGTGCTGGTTTTATTCTCCATCCCCCGAACCAGTATCCACACCACCTGTCCACTGCACACTCACGCTCCAAACATACCCTTGCAGGATCCTACTCCAATTCTCTATAATAAGTTAAAATTACAGTGTAGAAAAATCCTCTACTCTTCTAAAGATTTGTTCAGGAGAATTTAGGAAAAGAGCGTGTTAGTTACTCTCCTAGGCACTGCCTTTCCTCAAACTCAAGCCAAAGCCCTGAGAGTTCCAGGCCAAAATGGCAAGCTGGGAGGCTCCTGAACTCACCTCCTCCCATGGATACACCACATCAACAGCTGCACACAGTGCAATTCCCTCTGAAACCCCCCAAACTCCCAGATGAGAGGAAGTGAGAAGACTACAACGAGGAGGAGCTGGATCAAGGGTGAAAGGGAAAGGAATGGACATTAGAGACAACAGGATGAGCAGGACTGTGCACCCCTGCCCTAGCCCAAC